TTAAAAAGTAGTTTATATCTAACATATATAATATTGCAATTCAATAATAAAAAAATAAAAAAAATAAATTACTAATATAGAGAGGGATTTACAAAGATATATATATATATATTTACACACACAAACACAAACACATGAATACAATACAAGAGAATAAAGGTGAAACGGATGCAAAAAATGATGCAAAAAAAGTAATAAAAGTCCAAAATAATATGAAAAAATTTCAGTTTAAGAAAGAGAAAATATATAAGAGATATATATTAAGTTAAGCTTAAATTAAAATACATAACAATAACATAAGTATATGATGATTAGACAAACCAAAAAATTGAAAGTGCTTCAAAGAAAGATAGAAAATTATTGGTACATGTTTTGATTTGATATACTTTTTAACACTTATTTGGTTCAACTATTAAAATATGACTACAACTTAATTAGTTTTTATATTTTGTATGTATGGTTGCATTTTTAAGTTTATATATTTTTAATTGTAGATTAAATAATTTTTTAATAAATATGTTGTATAGTGTGTAAAAAGAAGGATGTACCAATTAATGTCTTAGAAAGATATATAATAGATCACTAATTGCTATATGCATACTATTAACATATTCATTAAAAAATTATTATTTTTTAATTAAAATTAAATATAAATAAACTTAAAAGTACAGTCATACATACATGATGTCAGAATTAGATAAATAGATTATATTTATATAATATTTGAGGATAATAATAGGTTTACCCTCATTATCCACTTATTATCTACACATTTCGTTACATCTTTTAATTTCTGTTACTTTCTATTAATTATATCTCAACTCCGTTATCATCTTTCCTTTCTCCTCCTTGCTGTTCACCATCCTCACTAACCAGACCAAAACCTGCAATTTCATCTTGGTTCTTTGATTTTCAACCTTCTTTTGCCTCCTCCTTTCTTTTTCTTCTTTCCCTCTCCTCCCCTCTTTTTCCTTCTCTCAAATCTGGGTTCTTCAAGAGAACCCAGATCTGGGTTCTCTTGGAGAAGGATGATGGAGGAGAGAGAAGAAAAAAAGAGGAAGAAAGAGAAAGAAAATAATGGATGAAGAGGATGAGGATGGAGGTGAGGAGGGTTCTTTGATTTTCAATCTTGTTTTCCCCCCTCCTCCTTTCTTTTTCTTCTTCACCATGGGTTCTTTTTCAAGAGAACCTAGATTTGGGTTCTCTTGAAGAACCACGTGGGTTCTTATGGAGAACCGGGTTTTCTTGGAGGAGGATAATGGAGGAGAGAGAAAAAAGAAAGAGGAAGAAGATAATGGATGAAGAGGATGAGAATGGAGGTGAGGAGGAAGATGGATTTGGCTGGTGAGGACGATAAACAACAAAGAAGAAAAAGCAAAGATGGTAATGGAGTTAAGGTGTAATTAACGGAAAGTAACTGAAATTAAAAGGTGTAACAGAGTGTGTATAATGAGGGTAAACCCATCATTATCTAATATTTTAATAACTGAATTGACGGGTATTGAAGAGTGTTAAATTAGAGGGTATACTAATCATTTTTTTATAAAGTAACAAATTATGAAAATTAGTTTTTATTTTTTAAAATTAA